TACGTTAAGATGTTCTCATCTATAGGTGTCCTTGTCTAAATGTGTCCATGTCTTCAGGTGTCAAAGTCTACAGGTGTCAAAGTCTACAGGTGTCAATGTCTACAGGTGTCCATGTCTACATTTATCCATGTCTACAGGTGTCCATGTATACATGTGTCAATGTCTACAGGTGTCAATGTCTCCAGGTGTCCATGTCTACAGGTGTCCATTTCTACAGGTTTCTATGTCTATATCCTTCCGTAAATGTGTCACAGCGATTTTCAGTACTGTGTGATGTTAAATTCAAACAAAATATTTACACCCGTCTCCAGTAGATACCAGTGGTTCTAACAAAATATTTACACCCGTCTTTAGTAGATACCAGTGGTTCTTTCAAATCTGATTTTTTAAAACCACTCAAGCGTGACGTGTAAAGAAATAAAACCCCGTGTCTGGTATATAACTCAGGTGACTTCTTGTTCACGTCACATATCACTTCCTTATACAACTGGTGTGTGCACTGTTTGGGATTCAATTTCAACTCGCACGGCTTAATCAGGTAATTAATTAGGCGTTTGTTGATTTTATATTTTTTAATCGGTAATTATTTTAAATTTAAATTATTGTTTAATAGATTAGCCGCACTATTTTAAGTAGTTGAGCTAAAGCAAAAAAAAGTTCTCTGAAAGAAATTGACAGTAAATCAAGCGATCACCTCCAATTGACTAACCTCGTATCATTATGTTTTGATAATCGGTACTTTGTTTAATCTAATTTCTTTTTATATTTACACAAAAAAATAATTTAAATGTTTTAACAAAAGACGATGATATTAAATGTATCGGTATTTAGACAAAACAATTCACGACGATTCGAAGTCGATACTCTTAAAATATCGATATAGAAATTAATGTATTTTCCCGCCATTTGAAGGATGTGCAAAATTTACATAAATAGAAAACAGTTTTATTTTGATTAACGTTGTCATTAAATAAAACATACGTTCAAGAATATATATCCGTAGTAATAATTAGTGAAAATCGCTTATATTGTCTAAGTTTATTTTTAATACTCACTATGCGATGCGTATTATCAGAATCGATGCCTGTTTATAAAAGTAAACGCCGATGCCATCTAAAGGTCAGGCTTGCCAAATTGACAAACTGGAAAAAAAAATATTCTTTGAATTTACAAATTAATTAAAAGCAAATGCAATATGATGATATATATAATTATCAAAAAAATACATATTAAAATACTTAATAATCGAATTCCAACAAAGACAGATACACATTTATATACATAGACTACTATTTAAGATATTATTAATGTCTTTTTATTACTCTACACGGGATAAAATCTGAAATATCAGGACATTAATTTTTACGAATTAGTGAAATTGTCTTCATTATACTTTTTAAAGTGTTAATAACGTATGGTTTATACTCACAAATGCACTTTTAATTTATAATTCCGGTATCTTATTTGGATTTTTAAAAATTCAGAATGAGTGGTTCGATTTCCACATACATTTTCTAGATCTAAATTTGTTATTTAAATTATCAAAATGCCATGATTATAATTTAGCAGAACTATTGTACTTTATGCTCCAACATTTGAATGTAAACTTTATAGGGTGTAAAATAAATTGGAGAAACATCAAAAACATTTGCTTGACATACTAACATGATACATCACAAGGAACTGACAGCAGACTGCATGGACATGACAAAATTAGCCTTTAGTCTGACCAGTGACCGCGGTAGTTAATGCCATGCTAGGGGGGGGGGATACTTTTCTAGTTCCCAATCATCGGCCCACTGTCACATGGGAACTGGTAAGCGACGGGACAGATTTAAACACAGACCAGTCAGAGGTTCGTTGGTCGGGCCAGTCAGAGATTTGTTGGTCGGGCCAGTCAGAGATTTGTTGGTCGGACCAGTCAGAGATTTGTTGGTCGGGCCAGTCAGAGATTTGTTGGTCGGGCCAGTCAGAGATTTGTTGGTCGGGCCAGTCAGAGATTTGTTGGTCGGACCAGTCAGAGATTCGTTGGTCGGGCCAGACCAGTAAAGCTTATAGTTGCTAAACCGAAGAGTCCCCAATTTTCACACCGGTGCACATGTGGCTCTATGTAGTCTGTCGCTTGACCTATTTCTGTTTACCGTCGTCATGGTAATAATGGCTGCCGAAAACGACGATTCCGTGATTCCGTTTTTTAACAATGCTTAATTGTCTTTTCAGAAATATAATCTTATCAGCCTTATTTTTTGAGTATTATTCAACGACACAGATCTAATTTTAACAATGGGCGACTAGTGTTTGAGGCAAACTTGCCATTTGTACATTTGTTTGGTCTAATCACTAAGAAAATCGAGCAGCATTATATAAAGTAAGCAAAATTATAATTACTGTATTTAATATTGTTGTAAAATACTCAAAATACTCTGAACTATAAAAAATTATTTAATACGTCACACTAAACTATTTTCATTAATTAAAAAAAAAAAATAATGCAGCATAAAGACAAAACCTTCAAAAAATAACATTATAAAGATGACACCCAACAAAGCCCGCCAATTTTGCCCGCTGTGTCTTTGAGTGAGAAGAAATCTAACAGACGACACATTTCTGCTGAATGGTATAATGCGTCACAACAACACTCCTTTAAAATTTACCGTCATATCAATGTAGCTATTTAAAAACAAAATTCATTTTTTCACAAATTATTTGCTAGGCTACCGATTAATTTTGATAATTAAAACTGGTAACAAATTAAACATAAATAAATGTAGTTTTTAATAATTTAAGTCATTTTGAACCTAGTCGTTGTCTTTCTTGGTCGCTGGTGGCAGTAAACGATCTAGAGGAGACATGTCAAACAATTAGGTCCCCTACTGTCTTGTAATTTTTTTGAATGGGCAAACAAAGGCTATGGAAGCAAATCCACTCCCCCTCCCCGAAAATTTCAAGTGTCTCCCTCGGAGAAAAAAGTCTGGAAAAAACACTGTTATAAATAGTATAGGTTCTTTTTTGTACTACAGAACCAGAGTTTCTTCCGAAGAAAATCAACCCCCCCCCCCCCCCGAACGACCCCGAAAATGTTGACCGCCGCCCCCTCCCACCCGAAAATGTTGACCGCCCCCCCCCCCCCCGAAAATATCAAGTGCTCCCAACCCTCCCCCCCCCCCCTGAGCAAAAAAGTCTGGAAGAAACACTGCTCAGAACACAGTATTAAAGTTGATAAACTCGTATGGACAGTCTTGGGACTGGAGCGGCTACACACAATTTCTCTCACCCAAACGCCACTTCTTATTTTTCTCATGTAGATCTCGTTCAATTCATGTTATAGCCTCTGATACTTTATAGTAATTTTTTGGACCTGCTACAAAGCTTTATTTTTTTGGCTTCATTAATGATGTTTACGGCAACAAAAGTTCTAACTGTTCTGGCTATCGAAAGCTGATCTTCATTTCTGCTAGCGATAAAGTTTTGGATCGAGACTGCGTTACACTTGTTCTCAGCTTTTGGTTGTCTAAGGTCTCAGATCTAATCTAGATCTAGATATAAGATATACAAAATCTAATTCTAGATCTAGTTCTAGTTTTAGTCTTGCTGCTATATTTTAACTAGACCTATGTAATAATGATGTAAGCCTACAAGTACCAAAGCAATGGCCCATGGCTACCATGGAAAAATTGTAATACGATTTTATCTAGAAAATCTAGATCTAGATCTAGATCTAACTAGATCTAGAATCTAGATTCTAGATGTAGGTCTTAAAAATACTTTACCTTTAACTACTAGTCTAACTAGATCTAGATCTATGACTATAGAGTCTAGACTTGATCTAATTTCCATCATGTTTTTGTTAAAACATGGATAATCAATGTCATGAAGACTAAGTTAATATACTAGATAACTAGACCTATGTAGTATAGAGTCCTAGACTAGATCTAGATCTAGATCTCTAGATTAAATTTCTAACTTTAAAGTACTTTAACTAAACAAACATTGATTACAATGATTAGGCCTAATGATACTCAGTTTGTTTTTTAACTTTAGGTTAGGCATAGCAGTTTAGACTCTAAACTAGTTAAGTGTAAGACTTTTTAACATTTTAGAAAATAATTGATTTAAAATTGCTAGGAAACTTAAAACTAGTCAGTAATATATTAGATCTAGATCTAGTATTGTAAATAACTAGATCTAGTAACCTGTAGCCTAATCAATCAATAATAAACTTTAAAATCCCAAAATAATAAAGGCTTATTATTTATATTTTAGTAGCTAAATTGATGCAATTGTTAAAAAATGAATAAACATAATTGCTATGAAACTATTTCTCTAATTAACTTTCCATGCAGGTCTATAACTTTTACTTACATTTCCAGGTAGATCTAGATACAAACATTTCTCCCCTGTGATCTCTTCAGGTTACACCACAATTATAGGAACCATGTTATGTTCTTCTATAATTGTTCATTATTCATCATAAATATTGTCATTCTGTAGTTCTATGCTAATAACAGTTCCATCATTCATAAATGCTGTCATTCTGTAGTTCTATGTTAATGACAGTTTAAATCATAAATGTTATTCTGTAGTTCTATGCTAATGACAGGTCAAATCATAAATGTTGTCATTCTGTAGTTCTATGCTAATGACAGTTCTACCATAAATGTTGTCATTCTGTAGTTCTATGCTAATGACAGTTCCACCATAAATGTTGTCATTCTGTAGTTCTATGCTAATGACAGTTCCACCATAAATGTTGTCATTCTGTAGTTCTATGCTAATGACAGTTCCATCATAAATGTTGTAATTCTGTAGTTCTATGCTAATGACAGTTCCAACATAAATGTTGTCATTCTGTAGTTCTATGCTAATGACAGTTCCACTATAATTTTATTTCTCTCTCCAGAGCCTGAATGATCTTCCATAGTGGTGTGTGCTGACTGATATTATTTTAAGTCAAGTGGGGAGTTCAAAGGTCAGTCCATCTATCTTACATGTTGGTCTAAGAATGTATTTAACCATAATCTTCTAAAGCTGACCATTATGCTGAATTCTGTTAGCCATATTATTGACCAGTGGCTATTGTTATGTAGTTTGTAAAGAAACACTGGTTGATGACTAGTCAAACTACCATATAAACTTCTTTCTTTAAAAAGTCAAAATATTTTTAACTATACAGAGTGACTGTTGGCTGCTGAATGTGATGTAATGGTCAAGGTTATTTCAATCAAACAGCTGCCACAGATGACCATAAGACTACAGTAAAGGCCAGTAGAGATCTGTCACATCTAGTTACAGGTAAGTTTGTTAATTATCTTTTAACTTAATCAATTGTACAGCCATGGTTTAGTGCTGATGTAGACAATGTGTCAAATCTTTGTGTTGTGGTTTATTTAACAGGAATCAACTTGGATATTCTAGCTGACCACAACAGTATGGCCAGTGGAGAGGACATCTCAACATATTTTACAGGTAATGTCCATATACTATATGCTTACTATATTTTGTGCTGATGAAGTCCTTATGTTTGAACATTCTGTAGTTTGAAATGTTTACTGGATGAGTATCTTAAGATGGTGATGGTTGAGATGGTTGTGACAGTTGGATGTTGTAGATAGTTTTCATGTTTTATGTTTTTCAAAATTTCACAGCTAATGAAATGCTTACAGTAATAAAATTGTTTTGTTTACCTGTACAGGTACACATGAAGTACAAGAATGTCTTGAAGGTCAAGTTGAGGTAGATCTACACACACACCTGGCTAACTGCAAGAAAAATCCTGGCCACAAAAACTTTGTACCTGTAAATCAGCTAAGTGTTGAGCATTTTCCTTCTGGTTACCATGACAACGATGTGTATGACATCACAAAAGCCATTGCTGACAAAACAGTCAGGATAGCCGTTAAGTTGACCAGTCTAAAGAGACCAGAGTTTGTACGTGGCACTAAAAATCCATATCCTTGCTACAACACCAGGGGACAGAACTCACTGCATACAGGGACTGGGTGGGTGGTGGATGTGATCAGGTACACAGAGGGAGAGGATGGCAGAACTTGTCCATGTCCTGAATGTGACCACTCGGACACACCCAGCAAAGTGTGGTGGCAGGTTGTTGTGAGGACAGCCACACATGTGGTTTTTGATGAGAGTGAGGCGAGACAGTCCAGCTGTAGGTTGTGGTTTGATGATGATCAAAGTCCAGTGGTCAAGATTTATGGGTGGAAGGTGAGTTGGCCAGACACTGAGGGAGACGTGTGTGACTTGTATTGTGTGACACATGACGTAGATGTAGGTGATAAACTGGAGGAGATGGTATGGCGGTTTAGTGATCTATGTTATAAAGTAATGAACAAATACAAGGATCGCAGAGATGTGGACAAGCTGACCATTATAGTGTCACATCCTCATGGCTGTTCTAAGCAGGTCTCTGTAGGTCACTGGGTGGACAGGCAGGAGGTGGACAGGCAGGAGGTGGGGGAGGGAGACACCAGGTACACGTACACAACGGCCACCTGTCCAGGTAGCAGTGGGGCTGGAGTCTACAGATTCGGGTGGGACTGGGGGCCTGAACATCCCCATAGTGGAACTAACTCTGGTGGATTAAATTATAGTGGGGTGTGTATGGAACAGGACTATTACTCGTAGTTGTCTGCTCTTGTATAGATTGTAAACAAACATGGCGTCTGTTGGATGTCTGTCTTTTCTAGATTGTAAACAAACATGGCGTCTGTTGTCTGTCTGTCTTTTCTAGAATGTAAACAAATATGGCGCCTGTTGGATGTCTGTCTTTTCTAAAATGTAAACAAACATGGCGCCTGTTGGATGTCTGTCTTTTCTAGAATGTAAACAAACATGGCGCCTGTTGGATGTCTGTCTTTTCTAGAATGTAAACAAACATGGCGCCTGTTGCATGTCTGCTCTTAAAATATTTCTTGACATTATTGTAGAGCTTTATTAAATTTTTAATTAATTATCTCGTTATTTTTATCAGAGAAAAAGTTGTTGATTGTTTGATTGTGAGTGAAGGAATAAAACAAGATTAAACACAGGTCGTTGGTTGAATAGCGAGGAGGGGATGAGGGGGGGGGGGGGGGGGTGAAGCGGATGGCCTTAGTACATTCTTCACTGACTGATATGTCCATGACGCATTCTTTCAGCTTAGTATAAAGCGTACCAAACAGTGTTTAATAATGTTCCAATGACAATCAACAGTACACTTCTTGGCAAAGTTAATTATTAACCTAAATGTTGTTTTATAATTAAACAAACAAAGACAATCCAGTTGTTTTGTTTTATCTAGAAATAAGATGGCTGCCTAGCACACGTGGTTAGTTGTAACCTATCGTGAATTGTTTTCAGTTACTGTACTACAATATTATTGAATCTTTTCCCATTCATTATTTTTACGCGTATGCCCTTATATCGATTTAAACATCAAATTTTACTTTGTAGAAAACTACGTTTATCCCACTTATTTTTAGAACAAAAGAAAAGGTCACTACACCAGTGTGTACACGAGTGCTTGGCCCTTAGATTGCTGTAGAGTTTATGGTCCCCCGCAATAAATGATGTAACACCCGCTCGAAGATAGCGCTTTCCACGTAGTAGTATGGGGGGTTACCATGTTTCACATCCAAATTCAAGGATGACCGTAGGCTGTAGAAGTTCGAAATGTTCAAGTTAGATAGATAAAAGGTATTAGTACCGAATTAAGAAACAAACATTTTGAAGAGCAATATTTAAAAATTGAAAATATGTGTATCTTGTACCCTTAATACTTCCAAATATGATGCATCTTCATCTGCTTGTTTTCATATTAAGCATCCTTTTGTATCAGTTACCTACTTTTTCAATTTCTTTTGTGGTGTAAACGACTTGGTTTTGGTGTCTGGGGTTTGGTTATTAGGGTGTCGGATGTCACAGGTTTTATCGACGTTTTTCATCGGTTTTATTACTTTCGTTAAATAAGTTGTGTTTTTATTATTAATTAATATAGTCTTGGCTTTATGTTCAATCCCCAAACTGGGGGCAGAGTTTCTTCCAGGCAAGTTCCCCCCCCCCCCCCCTTTCCCCGAACGAAATGAAATTTATATATTTTATATAGAAAATATATACTTTTAACAGTGTCCGCCCCCCCCCCCCCCACCACCGAAGAAAGTCTACCGCCCCCCCCCCCCCCCCCCCCCCCCCCCCCCCCGAAAATTTCAAGTGCCCCCCGGAGAAAAATGTCTGGAAGAAACACTGCCTGGAGGACTGCTGGCTTTCGTACAAACCCTACCTGCACATATTTTACCAGCTTGGTTGAGCCAATTAGGATTTTGGAGAGATTGATGTGTGAGATGTGAATGTAGATGGAGATTAAAAACACATGTCTAGTACCAGAATAAAGTTGACCTGCAGTAAACAACCACATGACCTTTCAAAATCACACCATCAATAGACCCCCAATAGAGATGATCTGTATCGCTAAGGAAAATATGATATCAGTTGCATATTTAATGGCAGTAACTCATTTGAATGTCTTATGAACAGTGTTTCTTCCAGACTTTTTTCTCCGGGGGTGCACTTGAAATTTTCGGGGGGGGGGGGGGGGGGGGGGGGGGCGGTAGACTTTCTTCGGGGGGGGGGGGGTCGGACACTGTTAAAAGTATATATTTTCTATATAAATTATATAAATTTCATTTCGTTCGGGGGTGGCGGTAAAAAATTACGAAAATTACTTAAAATTTGTCAGAAGGTAGAGAATTAGATCTTTTACTTACATGTGAAATTTCATTTATCTATCTGAAATAGTACTCAAGTTATAGGCTTTTTGAAAAATTCAAAAGATCCCTCTTAAGGAATCACTGAGTTCGTCTTATATATGAATTGTCACCTGGTCATCTGGATGTGAAAATGACATAATAATGGATCACTATCTTCTAAGCCTATCAGCTAAGAAATTAAGAAATACCATTAACCTTTGAACCGTATAGACCTTATACAACTTTTGCAAATATTTTGTTGATAATTTGACAGTTATCTACTATGCATCTGACATTGAATCTTTTCTTGTCTCAAACTGCCATCATTTTAAGCGAATGAAAAAAGCTAACGATTTTCTCCACACATGATTAACTGTGCTCGGCTTAGAGACATTAGGTTTACACAACGTATTTCAATCTGCACTATTTAAAAGAACTTAAATCATTTAGATATACAATTAGACTTAAAATAATTATAGCGTTTCTAGCTTTTGGTATTTTTGAAATATATTTCATTTTATTTTTATTTTACATTTTAGTTCAACAACATACTGATCAATAAGTAGGGCACGATCTGATAAACCCTAACGTCATAATAATTTGGCAATCTAACTAAGTGGTCCTTTGTTGGAAGTTATTCTCTTGCCAATAGCAGGCCGTGTGATACACTGGACGAGCCAACACAACTTAAAGTAGCTTGTAACATGCCAACAGCAGGCCGTGTGATAAACTGGACGAGGCAACACAACTTAAAGTAGCTTGTAACATGCCAATAGCAGGCCGTGTGATACACTGGACGAGGCTACACAACTTAAAGTAGCTTGTAACATGCCAATAGCAGGCCGTGTGATACACTGGACGAGGCAACACAACTTAAAGTAGCTTGTAACTTGAGTTACAGAAATATTTAATTCTTCATGTTTGAGCGAATAGTTGAGAAAATCAAATTATTATAATTGATTTACTAATCAGGTCAGAATAACGTTTTGTCAAACGGATATTTTTTGATGTTATAATTTATACATTACTGTACGATGAAAATAGAAAATGGCGTATCAGCCAACGTAGTTACCAAAGTTTGTGGCTCAATGGATGAACTGGGCGTGTTATAATCTGTTTTTACCCTTTTTAACTAGTCTGGGGCTACTAGCTTCATTGCTGTAACAGGTACAAAATTAAAAAAAAAAATATTGCAGTGATTCTAAACATTATGATTCGTAAAGCAATCATTCTAAATGGTACACGCTGTAAGTTAGTCATCTTAAATGTTGTGTATGTTAATGCAATCAAACTGTTATATTTGTTCCTACAGTCAATTTAAAACTCGTATATGTTGATTCATTATTTCTAAATATTTGTTGCTGTCGAACCATAACAGTGTTGGATGTCGTTCACTATTGGACCAGACGAAGACTTCTACTTTAAAAAATGAACACTTGCGCGACATAATTTAAATGACGTTGATTTGTTCTGTTTACATTTTAATCTTTTTTAATACACTGGAATTTAGTTATGTGGTACTTAGCTGCACAACATGACCTAGTTTCAAGATAACTTGTGGTAACGGCATGCATCGTTGCACAAAATTACCTACTGTCTACAAACCTTGATGTAAACCTTCGCAACGCTACCAATACTAACTTAACGTCTAACTTAGTTTGGCCGCATTATTCTAATTAGCCCTACTTTTATTACAGCAAATAATTGTTTCCTCTGAATAAAATTAACATTAATTGTATTAATAACCTCATAATATTGCTGTTATTATAATTAACATTGCATCACCATTTTTTGGTTTATTGGTAATTTAGTTAATCTAATTACCAAACAATTGTCGACCATTTGAAATCGATACTCTTAAAATATCGATATAGTAATTAATGTATTTTCCCGCCTTTCTTAAGCAATGCACAGATTTATATAAATAGGAAACAATTTAATTAAATTAACATTATCGTAAAGAAAACATAAAATAAATAATATATATTCGCAATTATTATTTCTGAAAACAGCTTAAACATGTATACATTTATTTTTTTAAATTAGTTATAAACAGGTTGATATCAGATTCGATACTAGTTTGTAAACGGCGATACCATCTTAAGGTCAGGAGAGCCAAATTGCCAAATTGGCAGAAATTATTCTTTCAATTTACAAGTTACATTAGAAGTAAAAGCATATGATATTAAATGTTACAAGCATAATAATAATTATAAAAATACTTAACTGTCACGTTACAAGAAACATATATATATATATATATATATATATATATATATATATATATATATATATATATGTATATATATATATATATATATATATATATATATATATATATATATATATATATATATAATCTACTCAAGTTACTATACATGTCAATTTCATATAATATGTGGAGTAAATACTGAAAATCAGCAAATTCAAGTTTTACGAATAAAAAACATTTTCTTTATTATTAGAAGTTACTCTAAAAAATTACCAGCGTTTTATTGAATTTTTGTAACTGTTAATCACCTATGGGGTCATCCATAAATGACGTCACGCTTTTTTTGGACGATTTTAACCTCCCCCTCCCCCCCCCCCCCCCCCCCCGTCAAACGTCGTCACAAAAAGCCAGACCCCCCTAAAATGACGTCACACAGTCTACAACACCCCTCAAAATTGCAGTTGAATTTTTTTTTCGATATTTTTCTAAAATCTTGTCTGACTTCTGTCAAAATAGAGTATTTTAATCAATTCCTATTACAATTTATTAAAACAATTTTCTAAAACGCGAAATAACGTCCAAAATTCGTTTTTAACATTGCTTTTTTATAATGCAAAAGTGTGACGTCGCACCATCTTAAATCCCACCCTCTCCCCCTCACCACACACCGTCACAAAATTACGGACCCCCCTCCACGTCACGAGTGTGACGTCATTTATGGACAGCCCCTATATGTTAATAGTCACAAATACGTTTTTAATGTATAATTCCGGTATCTTATTTTGATTTAATTAATCATAATGAGTTGTTTGATTTACAAAAAAAAAATATAACTTTGTCATTTAAATTATGTAAATGCCATGATTATAATTCGGCAGAACTGTTGTACTGATAAGCTTCAAAATATGAATGTACCCTTAATAGGGTGTAAAGTAAAATTGGAGGAACATCAATAGCATTAAATTGTTAGACAAAAAATTAGATACATCACATTGAGCGGAAAATATACAGACTTGACATGACCAAATTAGCCTGTAGGCTGACCATTGACCAGGGTTGTTAGTACCGTGGGGGGGGGGGGGGGGTGGGGGGTCGATAATTTGTTTGTTTCGTGGGGGGGGGGGTCGATAATTTGTTAGTTCCGCGGGGGGCGGGGGGTCGATAATTTGTTAGTTCCCAATGTTAGGCTTATTGTCCCGTGGGAACTTGCATGGCGAGGGGAAAGAGATTAATACAAGTGCCAGTCAGAGATTTAAACACAGGCGAGTCAGAGATTTAAACACAGGCGAGTCAGAGATTTAAACACAGGCGAGTCAGAGATTTAAACACAGGCGAGTCAGAGATTTAAACACAGGCGAGTCAGAGATTTAAACACAGGCGAGTCAGAGATTTAAACAAATGCCAGTCAGAGATTTAAACACAGGCCGGTCATAGATCTAAACACAGGCCGGTCATAGATTTAAACACAGGCCAGTCAGAGATTTTAACACAGGCCAGTCAGAGATTTAAACACAGGCCGGTCATAGATCTAAACACAGGCGAGTCAGAGATTCGTTGGTCAGGCCAGTAAAGCTTATTGCTTCTAAACCGAAGAGTCCCGAATTCAAACACCCGTGCACCTGAAGCTCTATGTAGTCTGTCGCTTGACCTACTTGTTTTTCCTGTCTGTCATGGTGATGATGGCTGTCGTGATTCCGTTTTTTAACAATGCTTCATTGTCATTTCAGAAAGGTATGCGTTTAAGCGTTATGTTTGCGCATTATTCAACAAACTCCATTTGTACATTTTTGGTCTAATCGCTGAGAATATCGAGCAGAATCATATAAAGTAGGCAAGGCGTTAATTACAGTATTTAACTATAGAAAATTGTATATTACGGTCTTCTAAACTATTTTCAATAATTAAAAAAAAATATGCAGTTAAGAAAAACCTGAAAAAAAAACTTTATCGAGATAACAGCTAACTAAGCCCATCATTCTTTGCCGTGTGTATTTGAATGGGAAGAAATCTAGCAGACGACAATTTCTACTGTAAAGTAAATCACAGTTAGCTAGCGCGCTGAAATTTTCAGGGAAGCTTTTTTTTCGATGAAAATACAATATTCAATTATTATTATTACTAACTTGATCGATGGAACAATTTTATTGATCATTTTAGACTCCAATTGATTTGTACAAAAAAGGGACATAACCTAGTAATTGTAATTTGATAAAAACAAGGTTCGGTACTTTCCCTCTTCTGGCTTACTGAAAAACACATGAAAATAAACCGGTAGTGATCTCCCCTAAACTTTCTCGAATATACTTATATAAAACAACAGGGGATGGTAACTGGGGATATAGTTATGATTTAAGCCATTTTAAAAACTTAAACTTTTAAAAATAGAATAGAATCTCATAAAAAAAAACAATTGCGCACCAAGCGAACGCCGAATAAAGATTTGTATAATAGTGCGCAATATTATTAGTACTTTATAAATTTACATGTGTTTTTGAAAAATCGGAAATAGCGTAAATTAGTACTTCCGGTAAACGGAAATTACTCAAAATTTGATAGAAGGTAGAGAATTAGATCTTTTACTTACATGTGAAATTTCATTTATCTATCTGAAATAGTACTCAAGTTATAGGCTTTTGAAAAATTCAAAGTAGAAAAAGTATCACTTCCGGTTATCGGAAATCGCTCAAAAGTTAATACGGATCTACGATTTTGATAAAATACTTATATATGAAATTTCATCAACCTAGCTGTAACGGTACTCAAGTAATCGTGTTTACACACAGACAGACAGACAGACAGACACACAGACATACGGATAAGATTGCAAAATTATGTTTTTCCGTATCAGTGAGGTGTAAAACGTCGAGATTTGGAAAAATCTCGATTTTTTTTTTGCACGATTACAAGACTTTCTCTATACTTCGTATATACGAGAAAGTAAAAATCATGAAGGAGCGAGCACGCGTTTGGCTGAGTAGTGGTCAAGCGGTGTTATCGATTGCAAGGCACTCGAATATACAAGATCGAGTCTCAGGATCGAATCATTGATTCTGGAAAAAACGCCGACAAAATCGACATGAGCAAAGTTGTATCCAACGATATAAATAAGACTGGATGATTGCAAAAGGAAATGGAAATATTCCTCGGCGCTAAAGTGATGTTGAGAGCGAACATCATCGTTGAAAAGTGACTGGTTAATGGCGCAATCGGCAACATTACAGAAATTCATTGGCCAAATTTCAGACGCTACCAGATTGATAAAGACATTCCCGACTTAAGCATTGACTTTGGGCCAGATGGAATCAATCGGATTGAGCCGAGAGGCGTAGAATTTGATGGAAAACTGAATTATGGAAAAGTTGAGCGAAGACAACTGCCCATATGCTGGGCATGCACAGTGCATAAAATTTAAGGCTGCGATCGCAAACTGCGTGCGCATTATGACAAAAAATGAAAAACGTGGGGCGCCGTGATTTTCCTACAGTTTCTAATACTGTTGACTCTCTACAAGCTCCCTAATAAAACTCAGTATTTTCATTTTTTGTCATAAATGCGCACGCAGTTTGCGATCGCTTATAGTAGAGTGATCACTTGCATTATTGTGATGTATAGCATTTATTTTCTACTTTTTAGTTCAATCAGAAAACGTGGGATTTTAAAAACTTTTTTTAAATTGATAATTATTTTTTATTTAAACTAAACGTTACCCTTCTTGAAAGCTGGGGCACAGTAAACTACTAAATTTAATTATTATTTTTTTTGTTTCTTTAAATTTGTTTATGGCAATAAAAGTTTAAACTGTTCTGGCCATCGAAAGGCGATCTTCATTTCTGCTAGCGATGAAAGTCTTGGGTCGAGACTGCGTTACACTCGGTCTCAGCTTTTGGTTTTCCAAAATCCTAGGTCTCCGATCTCAACATAGATCTAATTCTTCTAGATTTAAATCTAGGTCTAGTTTTAGTTTTACTGCTTTTTGTTAAAACGTCGTGGAGAACGTTATTCACTTTTTGGCGCTTTGGTTCTTCTAGGTCTAGAGTCTAGAATAAAAGTCTAGACGTCTAGATCTAGATCTAGATCTAGATAGTTGAGATAGATCTAAATCTAGATCTCTAGAGCTAGATCTAGAGATCTAGATCTGATCTAGACCTAGATCTAGCTAGATTCTAGATCTAGACAGGTCTGCTGATCTCTCTAGACTCTAGACTTTAGATAATCTAGATCTAGTCTAGAAGTAGAATAATCTAGATTTAAGTTTAAGAAGAATCTCCTAGTCCTTAAGTAAGAGGGATCTAGATTCTAGATTTAATTTCTAGCTTTAACTTTAAATTTTAAGCTTTGCTTTTTAACCTTAGTACTAGAATCTAGTAGTCTAGATCTAGACATCTAGTAGCAGTTTCAACTTTTACTACACTAGCCTCAAATAAAACTCTGAAAACTAAAATGCCAGAAATTTAACTAACATAAAAAAACCCTACAGTCAAAGTACTGTACTTTACTAGAGTCTAGATCTACTTCAGTACTAGATTCTTGATCTAGATCTAGATTCTATAGATGTATTGAATTGTGTTGTGTTGCCAGAAACATACTAAAATAAATGTTGTAAAAAACTATCAATGTGATACTATCAGCCTATACAATTTAACTTGAATTTATTGCAGAAATTAATGCTCTTTTATTTTAAGTCTTTAAATAGTGGGCAGTATTTAGGCAGTAATGGTTTTATAAAACACTTCATTTAAAATTGCTAGGAAACTATAAACTATTCAGTAATATCTTAGGCTAACAACACCTTTTGTAAATAACTGTAATTAACTAGATCTAGATTCTAGGTCTATTAACCTGTAGCCTGATCAATGATAAAATGAAACTTAAAAATCCTAACATAATCAGGGCTTATTATCATTCAGTTGCTAAGTTGATGCAATATGAATTAACATGATTACAATTAATATATTTCTAAAATTAACTTTCCATGCAGGCCTATAACTGTTACCTTCATTTCCAGGTAGATTTAGATACAAACATTTCTCACCTGTGTTGCAAACATTTGACATCTTCAGGTTACATCACAATTATAAGAAACATGTTGTGTTCTTCTTAAATTGTTTATAATTCATCATAAATGTTGTCATTCTGTAGTTCTATGCTAATGACAGTTCCATCATAAATGTTGTCATTCTGTAGTTCTATGCTAATGACAGTTCCATCATAAATGTTGTCATTCTGTAGTTCTATGCTAATGACAGTTCCATCATAAATGTTGTCATTCTGTAGTTCTATGCTAATGACGGTTTCATCATAAATGTCATTCTGTAGTTCTATGCTAATGACAGTTCCACTATAATTTTATTTCTCTCTCTAGAGCCTGAAGGATCTTCCATAGTTGTGTGTGCTGTCTGATGTCTTAAAGTCAAGTGAGGAGTTCAAAGGTCAGTTTCACTCTATCTGGTATGTTGGTCTAAGAATGTATTTAATCTTAGTCTTCAAAAGCTGACCCTCATGCTGAATTCTGTTTGCCATATTATTGGCAAGTGGCTATTGTTATATATTTTTGTTACCATAGAGTTTTATTCACCACTCAAAAATTCAAGTGCCCCACTCATAAATTACCATATAAACTTCTTTCTTTGAAAAGACAAAATATTTGTAACTATACAGAGTGACTGCTGCTGAATGTGATGTGAAGGTCAAGGTTAGTTGAATCAAACAGCTGCCACAGATGACCATAAGACTACAGTAAAGGCCAGTAGAGATCTGTCACATCAAGTTACAGGTAAGTTTGTTAATTATCTTTTAACTTAATCCAGTGTACAGCCATGGTTTAGTGCTGATGTAGACAATGTGTCAAATCTTTGTGTTGTGGTTTATTTAACAGGAATTAACTTGGATAGTCTAGATGACCACAACAGTATGGCCAGTGGAGAGGACATCTCAACATATTTTACAGGTAATGTCCATTTGTGATGGAATCTAAATTGGTTGTAAAAATGTATCTATCTGCATACTTAAAATGTTTTGTGCTGATGAAGTCCTTATGTTGGAACATTCTGTAGTTTGAAATGTTGATTGAATGAATATCTAAAGATGGTGATGTTGGAGGTTGTAGATAGTTTTCATGTTATATGTTGGTCAAAGTTTTACAGCTAATGAAATGTTTACAGTAATAAAATTGTTTTGTTTACCCCTACAGGTACACATGAAGTACAAGAATGTCTTGAAGGTCAATGTGAGGCAGATCTACACACACACAAGTCAAACTGCAAGAAAAATCCTGGCCATAAAAACTTTGTACCTGTAAATCAGTTAAGTTTTGAACATTTTCCTTCTGATTACCATGACAACGATCTGCATGCTCTCACAAAAGCTCTGGCTGACCTAACTGTCAGGATAGCCGTTAAGTTGACCAGTCCAGACAGACCAGAGTTTGTACCAGACACTAAAGATCCATATCCTTGCTACAACACCAGGGGAATGAACTCACTTCATACAGGGACTGGGAGGGTGATGAGGGTGATCAAGTACACAGAGGGGATGAGGGGCTACAGAACTTGTCCATGTCCTGAATGTGACCACTCGGACACACCCAGCAAAGTGTGGTGGCAGGTTGGTGTGCAGACAGCCAGACATGTAGTTTTTGATGAGAGTGAGGCGAGACAGTCCAGCTGTAGGTTGTGGTTTGATGATGATAAAAGTCCAGTGGTCAACATTTATGGGTGGAAGGTGGGCGAGTCAGACACTGAGGGAGACTGGTGTTGGTTGTATTGTGTGACACATGACGTAGATGTAGGTGGTAAACTGAAGAAGATGGTGAGGCGGTTTGATGGTCTATGTGATAAAGTAGAGGACAAATACCCGAGTCGTAGAGATGTGGACAAGCTGACCATTATAGTGTCACATCCTCATGGCTGTTCTAAGCAGGTCTCTGTAGGTCACTGGGTGGACAGGCAGGTGGTGGGGATAGAGACCAGGTACACGTACACAACGTCCACCTGTCCAGGTAGCAGTGGGGCTCAGGTCTACAGACTGGGGTGGGGCGGGTCTGTCCATCCCCACAGTGGAGCTAAGTCTCGTGGATTAAATTATAGTGGGGTGTGGTATGACTAAGACTTGTAGTTGTCTGCTCTTGTATAGAATGTAAACAAACATGGCGCCTGTTGGATGTCTGTCTTTTGTAGAATGTAAACAAACATGGCGCCTGTTGAATGTCTGTCTTTTCCAGAATGTAAACAATCATGGCGCCTGTTTGATGTCTACTTAAAATATTTCTTGACATTATTGTAGAGCTTTATTAAACTAGTAATTAATTATCTCGTTATTTTTATCAGAGTAAAAGTTTTTGATTGTTTGATTGGGAGTAAATATAAACGTCAATAAAACAGTTTTCAATCAACTTGTTTTCTTTTTCATTTTTGTTTGTTTGACTTTTCGATCTAGCGACTCTAAATATTGACGCTAAAGTTTGGATCTAGCGTCTCTCAATATTGACGCTTTAGTTAAGATATAGCGACTCTCTATACCGACGCTAAACTTTGGATCTAGCGACTCTCAAAAAGATGCTAAAATTTGAATCTAATGACTCTCAATAGTGACGCTAAAGTTTGGACCTGGCGTCTCTCAATATTGACGCTAGCGTTTGATTTAGCGACTCTAAATATTGACGCTAAAGTTTGGATCTAGCGACTCTCAATATCTACGTTAAAGTTTTGAACTAGCGACTCTCAATATTGACGCTTAAATTTCGATCTAGGGACCTTCATGAGTTTTTCATTAATCAGAAACTCTACTTCATCTGCCCTATGGATCGTTAGATCAAAGATTCTTTACTGTACTTGACCTGACAATTTAGCACGTCAAGTCATGACAAGTCATGATCGACACCTTGATATGACAGTACTTGACTTGACAATTTAATACGTAAGTCATGATTGACACCTGCCTTAATATGACAGTACTTGACTTGACAATTTAACACTTAAGTCATGATCGACACCTTGATATGACAGTACTTAATTTGACAATTTAACATTTAAGTCATGTGGCTTTATTTGAAATCATGAAATAGGCTACGAATATGCGAGACAAACCAATGTGATTTACTGTCTAAGGGAAGTAACAATGAAAATAGAAAGGTACTTTAAGAAACATGAGTTATGTACCTTTAAACAATTTTTGGATATTTTGTACTCATGTTGTATCGCTTTTGTTTGAAGACATCTGAATTCCAATTTATTACCTAAGAAGTTAAAAAGCAATCAAATTCTAAAACCTTGTGTTTTAAATTTTCTCATTCACTGCATGTAAAGTCTTGTTTCACACGTGACTTAGATGTAGGGGATAAACTACTTCAGATGGTGAGGCGGTTTTAGTTTTCCTTGGGAAATTTTACAATGGAAGGTCCATTGTTTAAATCGGCTGGGTGGATGTTTTGATATGCTGTGGATACACAATATAGATTATCTTTTACCACATAATAAAAGTTGTTATATCATTTTTTTTTCTAAAATAAACCGGGAGTGATCTCCCCTAAACTTTCTCAAATATTCTTATAAGAAACAACAGGGGTGGCAACTCGGGCATCCCATCCCATCGCACACCTCCCCCACCCCTGGACAGTGCGTGAAGATCCAATGAGACATAGAATACGTATGGTTATTCAACCGTGAATAACGCATCTGTGTAGATAGGGTCAAGCACTATGTTTCCGTACAATAAATGCTTATCAGCTGTCCTATCTAGTATTTACATTAGTTGCTAGTAAACCATATACAGAGCGAAGGGCATACAAATTTACACATGTGTCGTTTACAGAACGATGTAAATTTTGATTAACGCGTTTAACTTAAGCCTATCACACCAAGCTGTAACAAGTTTAAACACTGGTCGTTGGTTGAATGTCGAGGAGGGGATGAGGGGGGGGGGATGAAGCGGATGGCCTTAGAACATTCTTCACACTGACTGACATGTCCATGACGCATTGTTTCAGCTTAGTATAAAGCGTACCAAACAGTGTTTAATAGTGTTCCAATGACAATCAACAATACACGTCTTGACAAAGTTAATTATTAACGTAAATGTTGTTGTATAACTAAACAAACAAAGACAATCCTGTTGTTTTGTTTATCTAGAAATAAGATGGCTGCCTAGCACACGTGGTTAGTTGTAACATATCGTGAATTATTTTCAGCTACTGTACTACAAAATTATTGAATCTTTTCCCATTCATTAGTTTTACGCGTATGACCTTATATCGCGTTAATTATATTTTACTTTGTAGAAAACCACGTTTATCCCACTTATTTTTAGAACAAAAGAAAAGGTCACAACACCAGTGTGTACACGAGTGCTTGGTCCATAGATTGCTGTAGAGTTTATGGTGCCCCGCAATAAATGATGTAACACCCGCTTGAAAACTTGAAAGGGGGGTACCATGTTTCACATCGCAATAAACGGATAACCGTAGGCTGTAGAAGTCCGAAATATTCGGGTTAGATTGATAAAAGGGATTAGTACCGAATTAAGAAATAAAAATTTTGCAGAGCAATATTTTAAAATCGAAAATATGTGCATCTTGTATCCTTAATACTTCCAAATATGATGCATCTTCATCTGCTTGTTTTCATATTAAGCATCCTTTTGTATTATTTACCAACTTTTTCAATTTCTTTTGTGGTGGAAACGACTAGATTTTGGTTTCTGGGGTTAGGTTGTTAGGGTGTCGGATTCTATGTCACAGGTTTTATCGACGTTTTTCATCGATTTTATTACTTTCGTTAAATAAGTTGTGTAATGTTTTTATTATTAATTAATATAGTCTTGGCTTTATGTTCAATCCCCAACCTGGAGGATTGCTGGCTTTCGTACAAACCCTACCTACACATATTTTACCACATCTGGAGGGCTGGCTTTCGTACAAACCCTACCTACACATATTTTACCACATCTGGAGGACTGCTGGCTTTCGTACAAACCCTACCTGCACATATTTTACCACCTTGGTCGACCCAATTAGGATTTTGAACACCCGCTGGTAAGCTCTTAGGGTTGTCTAGATATAAAATACACAAGCTTACAGAGGGGTATGTGTTTACCAGGGTGGTAATGTCATGCTTGCTATTTGTTGCTGATTGGTCATGATATTCAGAAGGTAAATGTCGATCAAGTTGGGAGATTGATTTGTGAGATGTGAATGGAGATGGAGATTATAAACATCAGAAGGTAAATGTCGATCAAGTTGGGAGATCGATTTGTGAGATGTGAATGTAGATGGAGATTATAAACATCAGAAGGTAAATGTAGATCAAGTTGGGAGATTGATTTGTGAGATGTGAATGTCGATGGAGATTATAAACATCAGAAGGTAAATGTCGATCAAGTTGGAAGATTGATTTGTGAGATGTGAATGTAGATGGAGATTATAAACATCAGAAGGTAAATGTCGATCAAGTTGGGAGATTGATTTGTGAGATGTGAATGTAGATGGAGGTTATAAACATCAGAAGGTAAATGTCGATCAAGTTGGGAGATTGATTTGTGAGATGTGAATGTAGATGGAGATTATAAACACACGTCTAGTACCAGAATAAACTTGACCTGCTGTAAACAACCACATGACCTTTTAAAATCACACCATCAATAGACCATCAATAGACCATCAATAGACCATCATTAGACCCCAGTAGACCACATCAAAAGACCTGCAGTAAACAACCACATGACCTTTCAAAATCACACCATCAGAAGACCCCCAAGAGAGATTATCTGTATCGCTAAGGAAAATATGATATCAGTTGCATATTTAATGGCAGTAACTCATTTGAATGTCTTATGAAGTACAAGAATGTCTACTTCCGGTCAACGGAAATTACTCAAAATTTGATAGAAGGTAGAGAATTCGATCTTTTACTTACATGTGAAATTTCATTTATCTATCTGAAAGAGTACTCAAGTTATAGGCTTTTTGAAAAATTCAAAAGATCCCTCTTAAGGAATCACTGAATTCGTCTTATATATGAATTGGCACCTGGTCATCTGGATGTGAAAATGACATAATAATGGATCATTATCTTCTAAGCCTATAAGCTAAGAAATTAAGAAATACCATTAACCTTTGAACCGTATAGTCCTTATACATCTTTTGCAAATATTTTGTTGATAATTTGACAGTTATCTACTATGCATCATGACATTGAATCTTTTCTTGTCTAAAACGAACTGCCATCATTTTAAGCGAATGTAAAAAGCTACCGTTTTTCTCCACAAATGATTAACTGTGCTCGGCTTAGTTAGGTTTATACAACGTATTTCAATCTGCAATATTTAAAAGAACTTAAATCATTTAGATATACAATTAGACTTAAAATAATTACAGATTTTCTAGCTTTTGGTATTTTTGAAATATATTTGATTTTATTTTGATTTTACATTTTAGTTCAACTATATATGGATCAATAACTAGGGCACGATCTGATAAACCCTAACGTCATAATAATTTGGCACTCTAACTAAGTGGTCCTTTGTTGGAAGTTATACTCTTGCCAATAGCAGGTTGTGTGATACACTGGACGAGGCAACACAACTTAAAGTAGCTTGTAACATGAGTTACAGAAATGTTTAATTCTTCATGTTTGAGCGAATAGTTGAGAAAATCAAATTATTATAATTGATTTACTAATCAGGTCAGAATAACGTTTTGTCAAACGGATATTTTTTTATGTTATAATTTATACATTACTGTACGAGGAAAATAGAAAATGGCGTATCAGCCAACGTAGTTACCAAAGTTTGTGGCTCAATGGATGAACTGGGCATGTTATAATCTGTTTTTACCCTTATTAACTAGTCTGAGGCTACTAGCTTCATTCCTGTAACATGTACATACTTTTAAAGAGTTTTTGTAGTTATTCTAAACATTGTGATTCGTAAAGCAATCATTCTAAATGGTACACGTTGTAAGTTAGTCATCTTAAATGTTGTGTATGTTAATGCAATCACACTGTTATATTTGTTCCTACAGTCAATTTAAAAGCCGTATGTGTTGATTCATTATTTCTAAATATTTGTTGCTGTCGAACCATAACAGTGTTGGATGTTGTTCACTATTGGACCAGACGAAGACTTCTTCTACTTTAAAAAATGAACACTTGCGCGACATACTTTAAATGCCGTTGATTTTTGTTCTGTTTACGTTTAACGGTTTTCAATACACTGGAATTTAGTTATGTGATACTTA